TCAGACATGTAACATGACCTTAGTTCCTGAAGCTTTTCCCTGTCTCCTTTCAGACCACTGATGTTGAAATGCGCACATGGATGCATCTTTTGAGTCTCTTCTGCTTCTCTATTTCCATTTGCTTTCTTCTTTATGCTCACTCAATTTCTGACTTTCAAATCTTTATCTTGTCCACCACTCTGACTCCCAAATTTTTATTTCCACCTCCACCGGACTTTTAAAGTTGACTCAGGAAGTAGATTAAGGATACTGATTCAATAACATCTACCCTTTGTTGCCTAAGTCGCACCTCACATTGACCATGTCCTAAACCAGTGCTGGGATCATCCTACCATACCATTTGTTCTAAACCACTCTGTACTACTCATTTTAATTGATGGCCAAGCTATTCTTCCAGGTATTCAGATTAAACATGGAGGATTCTTTTATAGCCTGTAACAAACTGATCAAGAAAACTCATCTTCAAACTTTGTGAAGCCTCTCACACTTTGACAATTACTCAGCTGGTCTGCTCCTGGACCACCTGGGTCTTGCTGGATTATATTAGTTCTGTCTGCTTTCTCCATTTATCTCTGCTCTTTCACACTCTCTTATCAAGGTATTAGAGTACGTTCTTGAAAATGAAATCCAGTAATATTAAATCTCCTTACCTGTCTCTCACACACCCCTTCCCACACAAGATATATTTCTAATTATTGTTCTTTAAGTGTGCAAAATAGACTCGCACCTTACTATACTCTCACTAGGTCTTTATTCAGGCAAACATTATCATAACCATCTAACATGAAATTATCTTCACTCTGACATCCACACTTTTGGTCTTCCAGCTGTGGTTTACTTTTCCCCTTCATCCACAATAACAAGTTCGTTATTTCTTGTTTGATTGTTTACAGTCTGCCTTGACAAACTTGGACATGAACTACATACGAGAGGGCAAAAGGTTTTCCTTCTGTTTTGTTCACTAATACATCCTTTGGACCCAAAGCGATAATTACTACAGAGTAAGCAATCAATAAATATTTGTCAAATAAATAAATTAATTAGATGTATATGAGCTAGAACAAAAAAATTCTGGAAAATAATCCCTTTTTCAAACCTTGGAAACATTAGCAGTGATTAAGAGTTGTCATTATACATACTTGAAAAAATACCATCCCTCTGCTAAGCAAACAAACAAAACCTACATTTACCTGGATGCTCTTGAATGAATCAAGAAACCCTCAAGTAAAGAGTTTTAAATAAAATCATGTAAAATACTTTGGGATGTTAGGAGCCGCATGCTCAAGATACAAGGAATATTACCATAGCCATCTCTAAAAATGGCTACGCAATACAAACTGTACAACAAAAATGAAAAACTGGGTTAGCAAGTCTCATAAGCACAGACATGAAAATTGATTTTTTATTCATCTTGAAAAAACTATGCAAATAATGGTGAAAGTGCTGAAGAAACACAGGCTGTGCAACTCTAGAGTATCAGGAGCCAATCAATTTGTTTGTGGATTTTTTGGGTCCCTGGTTCCTCCTTATGTTGACTGCCTAATATTTGACCCTTACTGTTTGTTAGCAAGTCTCACAAGAGAGTAATCTAAAGAAACAAAGGGAAACAAAGAAGTTAAAGCTGCTCCTTGAGAAAGGCTAGGGAAGGATGTGCTGTGATCTTACTCTGGGAAGTTAGAAAACCCATGCACTATTAAAAGTATTCACCAAAATGGGCGCTAAGCCTGTTTCTAGAAATAAGTTGCTAATATTGGCTTGACCTAATTCACTCTGAAAATTTTTTCAACTGGTAGAATAAGAGGAACTCAGGATAAAAATATGAAGAAAGAAAAAGGAAGTTAGGGAGGAAAAAAGGAAGGGAAGAGAAGGAGAGGAGGGAAGGGAGAAAGGGAAGATCAAGAGAAATGAGAAAGAAGGAAGGGAGGAGAAAGAAGGAAGATAGATGAAAAGAGGAGGAGAAAGCAAGACAGGAAAGGGAAAGAAAGAGGAAAAAGACAAAGAAATCTCTGATTCTGCTATGAGACAATCTATGGAACAAAGATCTACTCTCTAAATAGAAAACAAAGCAAAGGCATAGCTGATTCTTTCCTTACTAATAGTAAAATCTGGGTCAAAATAACTAATTTCTCAGGCTTTATTATAAAATACATAGTAATAAACTCCTCTTGTAAATGCAGTAATGAAATGAATAGCATATGCAAAACACCTAATATTTAAAAAGAAATGTCCTTCATATCCAAAGTCTTTTTTCTATTACATTATCTGTATATTTGTCCAAGTGTGGCTACTCATCTCATTTTAAGCATTCGCTTTTCAGTTTTACAAGAATAAAACCCTGAAGAAATATCTAGAGGGTAATTAACATATGGCTAAAACTATCATGGGAAATCTAAAAGGATAGATTAAAATGTGCCATTGGGACTTGTTTCAAAATGAGAGGCAGCCTATCGATAAAAAATGCATTTCTCTTCTTCAAATACACAGGAAAATATTGTAAATGATCTATTTAAAAATTATAATAAGGCATCTATTTGAAAATGAATATTTTCTTCATTTTGTACAGACTACAATGCAGGAACTGTGTTGTTCTTTGTAAAGTTACTAGAATATAAATTCTACGAGGAAGAGTGCTCTTGATCTTGTTCATTACCGATACCCTTGAATGCTACATGGCTTGTAATTAGCAATTAGGAAATAGTTCTGAATGAATATAGTGTGCATAGACTATAGAATACTTGGTACAGGAAAAAGGGTTCATCTGCTTTACAAATGCTTGCATACTCCTGAGAAAAGGTAAATACAGACAAGCCATAAATCTATTAGCAAGAAACAAAAGGTATACCACTAAGCTCATGATTTCCGAGCTGCCATTGATAAACATTGGAATCCCACTGAATAATTCTCACTCCACATGAAGTATATTTTAGCATACACATAAATATATATGAAATAACAGACACTTTCTTGAACAAAGATAATAACCTTTTGAAGTGGCCAAACAGATCATGATACAGCAAGGAAAGAGTTAATATTTTGTGGACATTTTCCAAAATATGGTACTTAAAAACTAATCTCTAATTTATAGGTTTTGTTTGCTTGTTTAAAGTACTATTTAGATAGAAAATGGCATTTGATTTCTTTGCTATTAAAATTCTATGACAATAGTTATTTAACTCATAGGTGAGAAGAAATTAATAATAGGATATGATAAATTCCCAAGCAAAATAATATTTTAATGAAGCTTAACTAGTAACATATAATAGCACAAGAGTTCAACAATATCCAATGTACATGGTTCAGTAGGTATCTATAGATATCTTCCCAGTATAATTATAAATTAATGCAAAGTTTGCCAAGATAAACAGCACAGCCTACATATCTTTTTGCCAACTCTCTTATGAAGCAAATGGAACCAACATTCCAAAGGATAATAAAAAATGAATTTCTAACAAATCTCTTTTTTCTCTGAAATTGTTCTGGAATAAAGGTCAGTTTCTAATTTACTATCTTACTTATATTTTTCTTGATCGCATGTATTTTTATGTCATATGTTCTAATTATGCATTCTTCAACAGTATTGCATCTATTACTTTGTGAATCAACAGCTTTAAGATAGGAGGAGAAAGTCACTTATCTAATTACATATGCTTGTTAAGCTGCATATTAATAACCACTGCAGTATTATTGTACATTAGTTGAAAGCATGTAAATTACTGCAGTCATTCTCATTTGGGGAAAACCAAGAAATTATTCTTTCTTGTTTTGTTGTTGTTTAAAACACCCCCATTGCCTTCATATCTGTCTTCGTAGTATATTGTGCTTTGCCACAAATTATGACATTAATTTTTTTAATGAACAGAGAATTCCATTCTACTAATATTGCCAAAGAAATTAGACCAGGATAAAAATAAAAGTCAATTGAATGCAAATCCTTTGATCCACAGTTGAGATTTTTTTCAATGAAGTGTCTTCTATATAATTCAATCCCCCACAGAAAACAGATCAGTCAGACACTCCCTGCTTCACCAGAATGCTATAATAAAATCTGACTTGGTCCAGCCAGGAGATTGAAAGTGCATAGAGAGATAGAACATGCACTGCTAGAATACTAATATGACTTCTGTATGAAGATTGGAAATTCCACAAAGTTATGAATAAGGTCAAAGTAACACTTAGATGATTTACTGCCATAGGAAACTATTCTCTCCTATGAGTGATTTACGGGAGTAAAATGGAGTGTGGACAAGCTTCATTCAGATACAAGCTTGCAGCTGTCTTTACTCAATCTGCTTAGAGGATGATTTAAAGGGTTATTTAATTGTAACTCTGAATCACTTTCTTCCCTCTGTTTTAAATTGTTTAACATAAGTATTTTTTTAAAGTTTAGACTGATTTTAAGACTGAAAATATTTGGTGTAAGATATGAAAAGCTTATTCTCTTCTGTAAGGGTGGCTGCAAATGAAAAAAGGCTCTCAGAATAAAAAAGCATTGTTATCTTATCATGGTAATTGCCTAATAACTATGGCAAATTTATCCTGATGATAAGAAAGTTCATAAGGTTTTCAAAAGGAGCTAAGAATAAACAAATGAACTTGGGACTAAACTGACCAATTTGAAGAACACAAATGTATATCTCTACAGAAAGCTATCAGATATCAAAACTAACCAGATGGTAAGGCAGCCTGTTTAGGTTCACTGCAGGCAATTTAACAGCCTATCTTGTTCTGTGTAAGCCAACTCCAAGTAGAAATTCAGTTCTTACAGATATTATCAGCCCTGGAACACTAGAATATGAGGCATCACCGGTGAGTTTGACCAAGGCCAAATACTCAGCTCAATCCATCCTTACCCATCTTCCTATTCCTTGACAAACCTGATCAAAGGTCCACACAGCACCTAGACATTCACTTTGCAGCACCAGCCAATCATCCTTAAGGGGAATAAATTGTTCTTCCTTTGCAAGCTTTTGCACCCATTTTTTTTCCACTTTTATACATACCTCCTTTTCTACATATTTTCTTGCCGGGTTTTCTGGCACATTCCTTGGATATTCTTTTTACTGAAAAATGAATAGAAGACTAGAAAATAACATGGCGCTCCATTACAGACCGCCGGAACATGCAACCACTAACTTATTACACTCCTGCATTGACTGAGTGCGAAAGATCCCCAATTCGTTGAGCCTGTACATGCAATGAGGAAATGTTGATGCATCTTCTCAGAAGTCATTTGGTAGGAAATGGAAACTAGGAGCCCATTTCTACCTCCATATACGTGCTGTGGAGGAAAGAAAATGAGTAGATACAGGAAAGAAAGAGGGGGAAAAGAAAAGAACAGGTACACCAACACACATAAACCAAAAAAGCAGCATGCACGCATGTAAAATATGTCTACATGCCAACAGGAAAAGCCATGCACACTACCGGTACACATGAATTAATATTGTTAGAACTCAGGATAGACAAAAATAAATAGATCTTCCTGTTTTGTCTGCAGTAAACTCACCATCCTCAGTCGGGACATATATGTTTAAGTAGAGGCAGTCTTCACTCTGGTCCTGTACATAAGATGAAACCACATCCAGGTTATTGGTAAACCATACAGGGAGCATGACTTCCGGCAACCTGCCATCGATGATATTCTGAGGACACACAGGAGCAAACTGAGTGGCATTCCTGATATCTGACCAGGGAGAGGGCGGTTCCGGAGGTTGAAAACGATGTTCTCCTGTTGGTGGGGCTGCATATGGAACCCCAAGAAACTGAATAACAGGCCCCAAAATTTCATTATTGAGTTCTTTCTTAATTCCTCTGAGCTTTCCAAAATTGGTTGTCACCAGTGGATCCACATCATCCAATTTTTGTGACAGTACATGCGCAGTCTGAAGCCAACATCCCAGAAGACAGAGAGTCAAGGAAGCCCCCAATCCCCTGTGTACCAAGCCTGCCATCATGGCTCTCCAAACGTAATTTGGCCACGTGCATCTGAGCAGCGCCATGATGCCACATCAGTTGTCTAGTTGTCTGGTTTCAGTGAAGCCAATGTGTATATATCCACTTGAGAAAGACCATAGATGGGTAGAATCAGCCTCTGATTTCTCAAAGGTGCACTTGTCAAGAAAAGCTCAGAATTCTCTTCATGCAGCAAGTAGCTCTCATTGATTCCCCATGTATACAAGCAGCATCTTCAATCATCACTCTTTATCAGACCATATCCTATTGACCATTCTGTTTCCCATAGTTGCAGTGTGGGGAGAGTGGCCATTGACTGTAGATTTCCCTCTTATAAATTAAATCCAGTTAGCTGTGGGTCTATATCCTAGAGAAAAATAAGAATAAATCATTAGCTGAGCAAGGGAGAATAGACAGAGTGATAACTAGATATTTTACAAGCTATAGAAATACATTAATAGTGGCTAGAGTGAGGTAAGTTGAATACTACCATGGGAAAAATTATGGTTTGATGTGAGATGACAGGTGAAATACTTGATCATTAGATTGTTGAGAAACTTGCCTGCTGACTTTACACACACTTAAGTGGAAGCAGGCCTTGTCAAAATACACTGTTTCAGGAGCATTTCATAGTAAAGTATTTTTACAATATTGAAGGTTAGGTGTGAAATTTCTCTTTTATTGATTGTTCAATCACTTCGAGTAACTACAGAATTAATCAACTCACATACTCAGAATTAGAATCCAATAGAAGAAAACCATGTTTAAGAAATATATTGGGCAAGGTGCTGGTGGCTTATGCCTGTAATCTTAGTCACTCAAGAGACTGAGATCTGAAGACCGTGATTCAAAGCCAGCCCAGGCAGAAAAGTCCATGAGAGTTAACGAGTATTTGTGGGACAAATACAAATGGTCAAAAGCTATGTACATATGACCAGATAGGATGAAGTTAAGCGAAATGAACTCCAAGATAGGGACACAAGTGGATTTTTCTTTCTTGCTAGTGTTTCTAACGTAGTTATAATGTACCATGTGATTTTTTTTGTTGTTGTTGTTGCTTTGTATGTCCCTCCCCCACGGTATAACCCTATTTTCACGGTATTTGATGTCAGTATAATTTGGGGAAGGGAAGGGGAAAAACAAAATGTTTAAATAGGGATACAGGTTGACCCATTGTAACAATGAGATATACAAGACACTATGCTGAAAACTGAACTTTACAATTTAGGGTGGTGGGGATGGTTGTGGAGGTGGGAGGGAAGGGATGGTAGGAGAAAAAAAAAGGAGGAGGCAACAATGCTTGATAAGAAATGTACTCATTACCTTGCTCATGTAACTGTAACCCCTCTGTACAGAATTTTCACAATAAAAAACTTAAAAAAAAAAGAAAAGTCCATGAGACTCTGATCTCCAATTAACCAGCAAAAAATTGGAAGGAATATATGGCTCAAGTAGCAGAGTGCCTGCCAGCTTTGAGTGGAAAAACCAAGTTAGAGTGTGTGTGAGACACTGAGTTCAAACCTCACTACCAGTGCAAAAAATAAGGTAGTATATTAATGTGATAATTATATTAATTGGATGACTATATATATATTTATAGTAAATATATATTTATAGTAAATATATATAAAGAACCAAAAATAGTAGGTTCTAATTCCATTTTTATAGAAAAGCAAAAAATTAAAAACAACTGAGAGAAACGAAATGTAAGGTTTCCTTGGAGTATGGATATAACTGAGGAGCAGAAGCTATATCATATATTTCTTTTTTATTCATTACAAATTCCTAAGAAGCAACAGAGAGAGAGAGGGGGGCATCAAATAGAAGTATTAAGAGAGGAAGAATTTGGCATCATTTTTGGCAGGATGAATTTTTTAACCATTTAGATATATATTTTAGTTTGCCATAAATTTGCACTATGTAAATGAATTTCTGAGTCAGAGTTAATATGTTTTACATTATCGATTTTATTCTCACTATCTGCTAGAGATTAAAAGAAAAGAATGTAAAAAAAGAAAAGAAAAGAGTGTGATCATTTATAAACACAACCATACTAATCGTGGCATCTTGCTTATTAACATTAATCAAGTATCAAACATTCTTTATCCAGTCCACTTAAAATGCACCGGAATAAACTGTATTATTCAGTGTGATGCAATTCACAGGATAATCTTACACCAACTGGCAAATAGCATGCAGCTCAAAAAAATTGGTCTTTTCTTGTTCCAAGCAACCCTTTAAAGTGCTTACTTTGAAAATAATAATGTTGATTTGTATTAGAGATGGCTCTGTCCTGTCACATTAAGAGAAGATTCCTGGAGAAGCACTAGTCTAGCAGTGAGACAGCCTTGACTTTGGGTTATTGAAAAGGAGATTGTAAAAACTATTTAGGGCAGCAGGAGATTTGGTGCTGGCCTGGTGTTCCTTTAGCTCTGAGCAATCCATCCCAGAAGAAATAAGGAGATAAATGTCTTTCTTCAAGAGCACTTCAGTCCGTATTAATTCTCATGCTTGTGCTATGAAAGCACATTAATGCACCAAAGAAGATTAGGCCCCTCCCCCTCATGTCCAGAACCCCAGCATAGAGCATTCTGCTACACAAGCCCACTCCTAGTGGGTAGAGCATGGTTATTCTTGTGCACATTCCTGGTGGACATGTGCAGGCCTGCATCTTTCCTGTTCAGCTTTTGAGGATTAGAAAGTATTCTAGCATCTTAAGCAGAGATGCTCTGGTGAAGCACAAACCTGTACGTCATTATTTCTCACTGAGCTGAATTTTCACTTATAATGATTTCCCAAAGTCCTTCACAAAACTGGAACCTCATTTAAAATAGTAATATTAATAATTAATAATATGCCTCTGTTTAGTTATTACTTAAATAACATTCGTATTTTTACTCACAAACCCTTAACTATATTGAAAGGCCCCAAGCTTTCACTGATTTTTAACCCAAATTGGGCAAAATTAGATTTTGCCATGCATAATGAATATCCAGTCTTAATGACTATAGCTCATAAGACCATCAAATTATCCCACTTTACATACACACACACACACACACACACACACACACACATACGGAGCTAGTATTCACTTCCACAAAATCAGCTTGTCCAGATGTCATTCTTAAAACTATCATGCAAGTTTAACATAAAAATGTCCTAATATTTAAGCTAATAATTTAAAATAAAGACAACTCAGGTTTGTTGAGAAGCCCTCAGATTAAATTCTGCTTCATATATATATATATATATATATATATATATCATATGATAACCTTGGATGCACTTACATTTCCTTGACAACAATCCTCTACAGAGGTTTGAGAGTTGTGCCCTGTTTACTTCTGGTGAATTGAGTATGGAGGAGGTAAAAGAGAGACACCTGGAACTTGATGGTGATATTTAACTGACGCTACTCAATTTATCAAAGTTTCTTATTATTCACAGCAGATACGTAACAACCAAGTTTTGCTCCTAGAGAAAGTGTGTATGTGTGTGTGTGTGCGTACATGTGTGAGATGGATAGATATCCACATTTACATGTGCAAGTATCCACATACATGTGTATTCATGTATCTCACATGGATTTTAGATTACAATCCTGAGCATTTTTTTAAAAAGTCATCCTTCCCACAATCCTTCCATTGTGTATATGTACCATATTTTCTGGATCCATTCATCAAAAAATCATATTAATTGAAGTAAATCAGGCACAGAGAGGCAAAGGACTCATGCTTTCTTGCACATGTGAAAGCTACACCTAATTTATAAGTGTACAAGTAAACACATATCAGGTTGCACACAAGTGCACATAACTATATGTGAACTATGATATTTGCAGATGAGAATTCCAACGTTGTAATTTCTTAGAAAAATTCACAGTCTAACAAAATGAATCCAAGGAAACATACTTGAACAATGAGGGGGAATGATTCGAAGAAGAGGGATAAACAAATGAAGTGAGGAAGTGGAGGAGAATGTAGTCATAATAATCAATATATATCTTGTTAAATTAATTGGCTTGGGGGTGATGAGGGAGAATGATAGAAGAGGTGACATTGGTCAAGATGCATTCTATTTATACGCTGGTTTGTTAAATGGCAACTCCTTTGTATAATTGTTTAAAGATAATAAAAATATGATTTAAAACTCATCATACTTGATTCTATTTTCTTTGTTTTACAAAAGAACAAAACAAAGATTCAGAAGTGTTAAGTGCCAGAGCCAACCCACTAGCAGGTGCCGCATTTGGCACTGAAACCTTCCAACTGGTCCTAGAGCAGAACTCCTGTCTCTGCATTGTGCTGCTTCACCACCTTCCTCCTATGTTCCTAGAGCTGAGTCAAGAATACACAATGTAGCCTGGCGCAGGTGTCTCATGCCTGTGGTCCTAACTATTCTGGAGGCTGAGAGCTAAGGATCACAGTTCAAAGCCAGACTGGGCAGGAAAGTCCCTGAGATGTTTATCTCTAATTATCCACCAGAAATCAAAATGGTAGAGCACTATCCTTGAGCAAAAAAGGTCAGGGACAGGGCTCATGTCCCCAGTTCAAGCCCCATAGCTGACAAATAATAATAATAATGATAATAATAATAATACAGGATGTATTATTATTACTCCGAGTCTTTGCTGCTTTGCACATGTCTATGGAATGACTGAAAAAAATACTGATGATTCATTTTAGTTGTCCAGATACACTTTATTACTAGGAATATTTGCAAATATAGATATCAAGAAAACTGTATCACTTACATACCATGCTGCACCAGAATCAACTCCAAATAGAGCAAAGACCTCAAGGTAAGAGCAGATACCCTGAAAATATTACAGGAAGGAATAGGGGAAACACTAGGGCTCCTTGGCACAGGGATAAAATAAATAAAAATCCAGAAACACAACAAATCAAAGAAAAGCTGGGAAAAAGGGATTGCATCAAACTGCAGAGCTTCTGCATGGCAAAAGACACAGCTAGTCAGATCAATAGAAAGCCGACGGACTGGGAGAGGATATTCACTAGCTATACAACAGACAAGGGTCTTATAT